GTGTGTGTGTGTGTGTGTGTGTGTGTGTGTGTGTGTGTGTGTAGCACGCACGCGCCTCCTGGGCTGGAGAGGGAGTCTGTCTTCCTGCCAAGTTGGGGAGGGGTCTTTCTTCCTCTGGAAGGGCAGGGGTTCCCTTTCCCAGCGGGCATTGGATGCTCCCCCACCTGCCTTAAGCACTTCCTTTGTTCCTTCCCACCCAGATTTCCAGAAAACAAACCCAAACATTTTGTGTGTGAAAGCAAAGCTGTTGGAGCTTTTCTAATGGGGGATTTCCCCCGCTCACCCCCCACATACCGAGGAGTGCTAATTAAACCCCAAAGGGCTGAAGAATTGAGCTCCCCTCCACTAGGCTGATTTGCCTGCCCCAGGACACTTCTTAGGAGTATGGGGTCCGAGCCCAGCTTGGAGGTTATTTAAAGGGGAACAGGGCATGGGTGCTGCGTTGTTCTGTGAGTGTTGAGATGTTTGTAGCTGCCCTCCACTTCCCAGAGGGTTAATCTGTACCTTTTAGGGCCCTGCTCCTAAGGGCCTGATTCTTGTGGGCTTCCTGCTGAGAAGTTCCCCCCCACCCCCCCTCCTGCCTCTGCCCAGGGCCAAGGGTGGCCTGGGGTTACTGTCCAAGGAGTTCTCTGAGGGGGGGGGGGGTCTCACAGCATGTGGAACCAGCAGGGGAAATGATTTCATGGTGTTCAAGGAGCAAAACACATTCATTGCATTTCTCCTGACCACATGCGACCAGAACTGATGCCAGGTAACCCTTGGCAGCCTGTAGGAGAGCCCTGCAGGAGCCTTCCCGGGCCCCTCTAGGAGCACCCAGGCTTCTGGGCCCTGTGGCCATGGTGAGGTGCCCCCTCTCCCAAAGCCCTGAAGACCACAGTGTCCTCCCTGACCCCTGTCCCAAGGGGCCGAGTTGGGCTTCTCAGTGGAGCTGGTGGATGCAACTGTTCTGGGAGTCCCAGGCCTCACCAGAGGGCACTCGAAGCCCTGGGGCTGACAAGCATCTCTTCTCAAGCATCTCTCCTCGAGAAGCACCGCAGCAGAGAGTATAAACTGGGGGCGGGGCATCTTGACTCCCTCCTGGGGGCAGTTAGGGAACCGTGGTTATTCAAGCTGCTTTCATGGGGCAGGCATGCAGCCTGAGCTGGGTGCTTCAGGGTTGAAGCAACCCTCTTTCCCGTTTGATCTTCTTAATTTATTTGAATGTGCACAGGCTTTTTTTCATACCTGCGGGAAGCCACTTGACTTTCTAGAAGAATGAATAGCAGTTTGAAGGAAGAGCCCAGCTGACCACCTACCCAAATTTCCTAAGTGCTCAGTGTGGGAAAGGCCTGCGGAGGGGTCTTCCGTGGCAGGGTGGGAGAGGAGAGAGGCACGTACACAAGGTGCTCTGAGGAGCGCTCCGTGTTCCTGGGTTCGGAGAGGGTGGGGTGAGCCTGCCTCTCTTGCCCCCCCCACCCCCCCGAGTTCCTGTGTGTGCGGCCTCGAGGGAGTGGGGAGGCGGCAAACGGATTCATTCCCATCCTAAGCTGAGCTGGGATTCGAACATAGGACTCGGTGGTGTCCCTGAGCCCTTGCCTTTTGGGGCTCCAGGAAGGCTTCTGGGAGTGCTGGTGTCTGAGATGGGCCTTGAGGATGTCAAGATACAGGGAGTGGGGTGCAGGGGCATAAGAGCCTCTTGGGTGCTGTGAGGGGGAGGGGGCGTGGGATTCTGGGGGCCTTCTGGGCTGGGTCACTCACATAATCTGAGTGTTTTGCACAGATCCTGAGCTCAGCCCTGCTGCTGACTGGCCAAGCATTCTTCTCTTGGCCTTAGTTTCCTCATCTGCAAATGGGGGTGAAGCCAATGCATTGAGATATGGTGTGGGGAGTGCTCAGCATCCTGCTGGACCTTGGCCCCAGGGAACCCAGCCGGGTTATTTTGGTTGGTGGCCAGTGGAGGGTGGACAAGCAGGAGGAGTGAGGCTAAAGGCTGTTGTGAGCAGCTGAGCGTCAGGACTAAGGATGAGCATGGAGAGAGGTGAGGCAGGCTCGTCTTGGTGACAGGTTTGAAGTGGACGCTGAGTTAGGAGCCAGGATTCCAGTCTGGATCCATCTGGCCCCTGCGCTCTAGGCTTGGAAGGCCCAGTAAGGAGTGCGGGGGGGGGGGGGTAGAGTTTTAACCTGGTGCTCTGTCCTCCGTGTTGGGGGGGGGGGGGCTTCTGTGTGCATGGTGAGGAGTCTGGGCTTCTTTGGCTGTGCACATATGTGGGTGTCTACAAGCGTGTGCCTGTCACAGCAGAATAAGTTGGCTAGACAGACATACAGCTCTTTATAGAGAGGGAGAGATCCCAGAGTTCATCATTGACTTATTTCATTGTCATCAAGAGGACTGTTAATTCTTTGTCTTTATTTGAAACATTTGAATCTGTGCATTTATAGTTGTCATTTTTTGGGACACATTTTATCCTCAAATACTTTAAAAAAAATCGAATAGTGGGAGAACATATTTGCTCAGCGATTTGTCACTCTCTGTGTGTGCCCATGACGTGTTCAGCGTGTCAAGCCCCGGGGCAGGAGGTGGGCTTATGCTTAGGTGGGGGTCTTGTCTGCAGCTGCTCTGGACGTCCTCCCTTTTCCATGAGTGTTTCCCCCAGTAACTCGTCTAATGCAGTAACACTCACACGAGCAAACTCCTTAGACTGGAGACTTGAACCCTTTTGCTGCTAACAATAGCCTCTCTTTCCTGAAAAGTGGCTGGCAGGAAGGAATGGAAACTCACAAAATAGGGAAGCCCCTATTTCTGTGAGTGAAGGCTTATCTTTCTTGAGGTGGAGGACGGGGAGGATCAAGTGGCCCTTTCGGCAGCCTCCCCCCATAGGAGGCCCAGAGCCGAATCAGAGGCAGGATCCACAGAAAACGGGGGACCGCAGAGCCCCCTCCCACTTGGGGACATACCATCCCGAGGCCGGCCAGCATCTCAGGGGAAAACTAACCACTGCTTCTGAGCTGAATTGGATGCTATCAATTTGGATGATTCTTCGAGGATATAATTTTCCTCTACAAGTGTGAGAACAAGAAAGAGACACCGAGGAAGAGCCAAGGGGAAACTTGCAAATGAATATGTACAATAAATAGTCTCCCTGTGTATGGACATGTTTGCAGTTCCTACCAACAAGTAAGTACATTTTAACTCTTGACATAACAGTAGCCCAGCACAAGGAGACGAGTTGGCAGATTTCATCAACCTGCACAGTGAATATGGAGGCTGGCAAAATTGTAACTCAAGCTGGATTTTGTCACAGTTATCAAGGTTCTCACCAGGTAGTGTGGGCTCTCCAGGTCCCTGCCTGTGCACGTAGCTGCTGGGGCTTCCCTCCAGGAAGATACCTGGGAAACCATTTGGTGGTTTGGCGTATGCAAGGAAGTTTCTGTAGCATTATAAGGGGGGGCAGGTAGAACTTCCTATCTCCCCGGGGTTGCTGCCAACCCTGCCATTGGGAATGTCTTCTATTTTCTTTTGGCACCTGATGCAGAACTATTTTTTCATTAAAAAAAGGGGGGAAACGGGGTGCTCGGGTGGCTCAGTGGGTTAAGCGTCTGCCTTTGGCTGAGGTCATGATCCTGGGGTCCTGGGATGGAGCCCTGCATCTGGCTCCCTGCTCATCAGGGGAGTCTGCTTCTCCCTGTCCTTCTACCCCTCCCTCTGCTCGTGCTCTCACTCTCTCTCTCTCTCTCTCTCAAATAAATCAAATCTTAAAAAAAAAAACCTTGAAAAAAGTAGGGGAACATGATTTTTACGGCAAGTGTTACTTGTATGCTTAAAAAAAAAAAAAAACAGAGATAAGGAACTTCCCCTTTAACAAAAGAATAAAACTAATGTCATTTCTTGCTGTCTTTTTTCCCCTAGCAGGCATTTACCCAGTGGATATTTTGGAAGATGACCCTGAAAGGCATCGGGAAGCAGCCCTGGCTTATTATGCCACGCTTAGGGAAGGGATGCAGTCCTCAGTAGAGCTCTTCTCTCTTCCCACGGGGGAGCAGGTATGTTTGATCTTCCTTATTGGTAGAGAGCTCTGTAAAATCTAACTTACTAGAAAGTGGAATGTTAGTACTAGAAAGAGTATTATAGATTTAAAAACAACAACAACTTCTGGAGTGAATACTAGAATAATTGCACTTTGAGAAGCAGAAGGAGTTCTAGAATGGCATTCTGGAGTCCTGAGGATAAGTCCGGTTATGCAAGGTGGTGAGTAAGACAGCCTGCTCTGAATCCCACAATCTACCGCTTACTAACTGTGTGACCTTGAGCAAGTGTCTTAACTTTTCTGGTGTTGGCGTTCTCATATCTAAAATTGGGACAATAACAGAGCTTACTGGGGTGCCTGGGTGGCTGGGGTGCCTGGATAGCTTTGTTGGTAGAGCATGGGACTCTTGATCTCAGGGTCGTGGGTTCAAGCCCCATGTTGGGTGTGGAGCCTATTTGGATAAAAAGCAAAAACAAAACCAAAAAACCCCCCAGAACTTACCTTGTATTGTTATTACAAGGACTAAATGAGACCCTGTGTTTACGTAATGCTTGGTTGGGCCTCAGTTTCCCCATGTGTAAAATGAGGGGCTTGGTTCTAAGCTCTTCGGTCTCTAAAGTTTGGCCCAGTTTTAAAATTTTGTGGTTTGGAATGAAGTTTTGTCAATTGGAATTTAGTTATTATCAATGTGATTTTTAGCACTGATAGCCTTTTGGCTAAGGACTGGGAGAGAACACAGAGAAATGAAAACCGTTTGTTAGGATGGTGGGACTGTGGGTGAAATTTTAAAAATGCATTACTTTGAAGAACGTTTTTTCCCATGCAGTAAGTAAAAAGAATATGTGAATCTTGGATTGTACCTCAGTCAGTCACCTTTCTTTCAGATTTAAGTCTGATCTGTTCAAAGAGACAGGATTTTCTTGTTTTATATGTAGAAGATTTTCCTCGTACCAGATGATATCATTGCTGTCTGTCCAGCATAGTAGAGTTTTATTTCATTGTACTGAAGTTGTTCCAGAGTTCATTAGAACAGTGGCTTGTGAAGCTTATACAGTGGTGGCTTCCTTGAGACTTTGGAGATGCTAGTTCATAATCAACTGTTAGAATCCCCTGGGCGATTGATTCTACATTGTGGAGCTGCAGACTTGAGGTCCCTGCACTCACACATCTTCAGCGCCCCCTAGTGGCAGCTATGCCACGAAGCAAGCTCTTCGTTAAGGTTAGGGTTGCTAATTCTTTGGGAAGCCAGGGGCTGCGGGCTGCAGGGTGGGATGGAGTGTGGCGAAGGCTAGGTGTAACCTGAGAAGCGGGTGAAATCCGAGAGCTCTGAAGGACTCTACGATGCCCTTTCAGTCCTCTGTTTTCATTTCACCCTTATTTATGAGATTACATTACTTAAAAAAAAAAACCTATGTAAGTATGTGCAGTGAATGAATAATTTTAGTGTTATTAGCAAAAACATAATAAAATGGGACAACCCTTAAAAATAAGTTGTTTTTATGTGATAGAAATGCTGAAAGGACTTTATAAATTTTCGTGAGAATATTTTCAATTGTTTTCCTACCATTTTGGCATTTCCTTAAGAAATGGTAGATGTGCCCTATCACTTAGCAGTTGAAATAGTCTCATTTGGGGTAGTATCAGATTTCCTCATTGCTTTTAGCAAATTTAACTTTTCTTTTGGAATCCAGAGAAATTTTTCCAAACGAAAAGAAAGATGAGAAGGTGGTTTGAGGGTATATCATACCACATTGCTCTGGTTCTCGGAAAAGTCCTAATTAACTGTTTCCAGTCTTGAAACTGCCCTATCACATTTAAAATACAATAATACTTACTGATTTTTCTGGCAATAAACCAGGGTATGCTCATTGTATAATATTTAGGAACTATCGCCAGGGACAGAGAAAATGAAAAAAACACAGTTAACTGCTGTGAACATTTTGACAGGTTTCCATTTGATTTTTATTTCTGCATAAACTTTTTAAACATTCTCTCTCACAATACAGTCCGGTCTGTAATAAACATCTTTCCATGTCAATACGATGCTTTGTACATTTTTTTAAAAGATTTTATTTTTAAGGAATCTCTGCACCCAACGTGGGGCTCGAACTCACAACCCCGAGATCAAGGGTTCCATGCTCCCTGCCTCCCAACTGAGCCAGCCAGGCACAACTGTTCCTGATTTTAATGGCCTCTAACAGCCCTCTGGTGGGGTGAACTGTGCTTCACATAACCACCGCAGGAGGGCCCGCTCAGAGGCTCTCCCCTCAGGTGAATTTGAAACGAGGGGGGGGGGGGGCACCGAAATGTTTTCAGCTCTCAGAATTTGTTAGGAAACAGTTCTCTCAAACCACAGAGGCCTGCTATAAACTTTTACAGGTGACCTGCCTGCCTAGCTCAGCGGACACCTTCTCTTTTCATTTTTTTATGCTCTCCTTGGTTTTCAACACAGACTTTGCTAGTGGAACGTGTTGACCTTTTGCTTTGGGAGCTGGGAGCAATGCGTCTGATGGCCACAGAGAGGGTTGGGATACCAGCGCTTTCCAGAAGGCTCTGGGAGGGTCCCAGTGTTAGAGGCCCCCACACACGGCTTGGTGTTTCTCTTGTTCAGAAGCAGACGGGCACCAGCACTGTTCTCTCTCTCTCCCTCTCTCTCTCACAGCAGAGGTTCTCTGCCCTTGGGCTGCCCCAGAGCCAGAGCGGAGCCTGCAGGGCCCACAGGGTGTGATGGGTTTACTGAGACCCCTTGCAGAGACCTGAGGCTGGCATGGGGGCAGGGGTGGACACAGGCTTGTTCAGGCTGTTTCCATGGAGTGGCCTGGCAGGTGGAGGCCTGAGGTGGGGGTGTGGCCATCAGCTTTTGTAGGCTGAGGTCCCAAGGGGAGGGATCAGGGTGGGGAAGGCTGAGGGGGCCAGAAGCATACGGACGGAAAAGCTGGAAGGGTATCAGCTGAGTGGGTGTTTAATCAGCACTTGGCTGGATGGGCAGGTAAATGAGGGACGGGGACGGTTGGCCAGGTGGGAGACAGAGGAAGGGCCTTTGTCCCATCCCACTTGAGTTTAGCTCAGAGTGGGTAAGGTCTCCATTTTTACATGGCTTCCATCCTGTCAAATTAACCTCCATGCAACAGTGTTCTTCCAGTGAATACTATGCCAATTAATTGGTAAGTGATTTCCTGTGCCCTTACTTTGATGACAAAACAAAATGGCGATTTTGTTATTTTTTTCAGGTTAAACTTGAAGCTTCGTCTATTTGCTTTTGCACTGTGCACCGTGACGAACCTCAACATAAAATATTAGTCTTGGTTAATCCCCAGGACACGAAGACAGGTTGGTAGTTACTAATGGATTTAAAACACAGGGATTCTGATTTTATTGTTTACAACTATTGGAAGGAACTATGTCGGAAATGATGGCTGGACTCTGAGGCTGGACCTAGATGAATATCAAAGCAGAAGGGATGTCTTTTCAGCGTTTAGACATCTGATAGTTAGTGCATTATTTGTGTTTATTCACACACGTGTGGGTTTTTGTATTAAGACACTGGACTCCCTCTCACCCACGATGGCTGTATTCTGAGCTGCTTTTGAGGGTAGCACTTGCGGTTCTTGTTAATAATATGTAGGGGGTGCATGCACAGGGTGGAGCCCGTTTGTTGGAGTGTCTCACCGCCCCCTGCAGCATGAGGCCTCTGATGGTCAAGCAGTTTGCCGGGGGCCACGCAGCTGGTGCACGGGAGGGGATTTTGCAAGGTGATGATTAGGTGGGGTTTTGTTTCTGGTGGGGAGGTTTATGTAATCTGTAACTCATTTATTCTTCCTCCGCATTATGAAGAGACCATTTGTGACTGATTTCAGCTCCTTGGAGTGAGTGCTGAGTTTCGTACGAGGCAGGGATCTGGGCCTGTTGGCCGTGGGCAGCACGATGTGGGGAGGGGAGAAGGCTTGCAGCCCATCCCTCCACCTGCAGCCCAGGGCACCCGTGAGCTGTAAGCAAAGCACCTTTGAAGTCTCTGACTTTGAGGGGGTCCCAATTGAAATTCAGTTCTATTTTAGAAATTTTCTCCTTGATTCTATTTTTCTGTGTTTTATGGATTTCCTTCCATGACCGTGTATTTATTGCTTTCCTCCTAAGAAGTTAAAAAACCAAACCAACCCTTCATCAGTCAGCCCTCCTTAAACGATGTGGGATCTGGTGAAAGTTTGGGGTTAGAGGTCTTTCACTATAATTTGCAAAGGGGGCTTCCTTCGGCTCTCCAGCCCCACTGGAGACAGACCTTTGCCTTTCACCCTGCGTGTCTATCCAGGGATTTGTACTCAGAGTCTGCTCTGCCTGATTGGTGTCACGAAGCCCAAGGTGACATCCTTGATTGGAGAAAGTTATTCAGCACAAAGACTGTCGTTTATGCTTCTTTTCTTGTTAATCTGGAGACACGAGTGCACTTAGCTAGCTGTCTGGGAGTTTTTGGCATGTTGGCAAAGCCTCTTCATTGCTCCAAGGCTGAGGGTTGGCTGAGCTGTGTGTGACAGCTTTAGGGTCAAGGTTCGGGACCACTCCCGTTTCTGTCCCACAAAGCCTTGCCTGCCATGAACAGAGGGGGGCCGTGAAAACCCCAGGCCTGTGCCTTTGCCTTGAATTTGGGACTCCCCCACCAGGTTAGCGAAAGTGACAAGATGTGCCCACAGGCACTCCTCAGTGAACAGATTGTCAAAGAACTCAAAATATCATTTGCCGATTCTAAGAAAATGTCCAAATATCAGCAGCGCTTCGCCCCCTGCCTTTTTTCGGGGTTTAACAACATCCTGGTTGTAGATCTTTAACTATCATTTGCATAGTGTAAACATATGACTGAGTCCTAAATCTGTTTCCTATTTATACTGTACTTAATTTTTTGGTTGTTTTCAAGAATGCATTGTAATAAATATTCGTAAGCTCTGAGCAATCTCGGTCCAGACCTTAGGTATTATAGCGCTTTAAATCAAGTTTTCAAATGTTTTCCTACCGGCTGGTGCTCTATGGTGCTCGCTGAAATTTTCCACGAATTCCAAAAACCGCGCAGGTGTAATCCATACCTCATGCTCTTTAATCTAGTATTGAGAAGCCGACATGATTGCATAAATGCACCTCCTTGGCTTGAAACATACAGACTCAGAAGCCACTGATGGTATCCCTAGACCCTCTTCACCTGCATGCTCAGTGGTGACCTTTGATCCTACTGTCTCTGGTTCCTTTGTAATTCTGCTGGAACGGTTGTATCTGGGAAGGCCAGGTGTGTGTTTGTGTGTGTGTGTGGTTAGATGGAATCTAAAAGGATCTGGCGCTGTTTGGTAAGCCCCGTCCGTGTATGAGTTAATTATTGAGAAGCTGGTTGAGTCCATCACAGCCTTTTGAGATAACCCCGTGAGCAAAGGAAAACCATCCTGGAGTTGTGAATTCCTGGGGGCGGGGGCAAGCAGCTAATGCTCATGACAGGCTGCTGTTAGGATGTAAGTAATGAGGCCCTCCAGCTTCCCCCTTGAAGGAGCTGGGGATGCACTTTCCAGACAGGTGGTTTGGGAAGCATGTGTCTTCATCCCTGAGGGGTTCAGTCTGGACTGTTTCTCTGGTCAGAGGCTGGTTTGTCACCAAGGCTGTTGAGGACCCCCCATTTTTTAGTTACCTCTGTACCTCTCAAGGGCCTTCTTTTTCATTTCTCCCTCCTTGTTTTGTTATTCCTCCTATTTTTAAATTATTAACGGATGTTGTGTTTACAGAGATTAAAAAAAAAGACTCCTTATCAAAAAAAGCTGTGGTCTTTTTTCTATTTCCTGCATTAAATCAAAACTGCTTACCCTAGCATTCCAGATTCCCATCAGTTGATGGCCTTTTGCCTTTCTCATTTCCTGCGATTTGCAGAATAGAATAGGATGAACCTGGACTTTGGTGTCAGAGACAACTAATTTGGCATCCTGGTTCTACCACCTGACGGGGGGACCCAGAGAAGTGATTTGGTCTAAGCCAGTTTGGTCATCTGCAAAATGGGACATCCCACTTCATAGAGTGGTTGGGGGAATGAAGTGATTTGTGGCAGAACATCTGATGCTCTGGACCTCGTCGGGCAGAGAGTAGTCACAACCCTAGCAGAATTCTTCCATCATGGCACACCTTTGCTTGATTTTTCTTCGTCTTCGGGTGTTGTGTTATAGAAGCATGGGATTTTTTTTTTTTTTAAAATTTTATTTACTTCACAGAGAGAGCACAAGCAGGGAGCAGCAGGCAGAGGGAGAAGCAGACTCCCCCCAGAGCAGGGAGCCTGATGCAGGACTCAATCCCAGGACCCTGGGATCATGACCTGAGCTGAAGGCTTTATCCATCTGAGCCACCCAGGCGCCCTTAGAAGCTTGGGATTTTAGTGTGGGAGGCCTTCTTGTCCACTGCGGGCCAAAAGTTGGCAGCTGAATTCCCTCCCCGATGAATTCTGCTTGCGTACCTCATGGATAGGAAGGCAATACCATGATATGCCAGGTTAGTCTGTTTTTGAAGAGCCCTAACTGTAAGAGAGCTATCCCTTCTACTGATCCCAAACTACTTTTTTGGATAAAGGTCATACAGTCCATCCACAAGCAACCGGTGATCAAGGATGAGCCAGGGAGGATGTGTCTATACACCTCCTGGGTAAAGAAAGATTCTGATGGCAGTTCTCATCCTCAGAAGGCACAGTGAGCCCTGGCATTGAAGTGGGCTGCTGGAAAGCAGACATGATCTGGGACTGTGTTAATGGAAGGATAATCCCCCAGTGCAATTACAGCTCCATTCTCTCCCCCCTGATGGGGATGGCTCAGGCCCCCTAGGAAGCAAACTGGCATTTATCCATGCAGAAAGAACGGGGTGATGAGAGGGCTTGAAACCATTTGAACAGGGCTTGAGGGACCTGGGGCTGTTTAGCTTTGGAGGAGGGATGCAGGGGTCCGGAAGCTCATGTTCAAAGGGCTGTTTCGATCATTAGATTCAGTATTTTCCAAGATGATTTTTGGTGGTGCGATTGAATTCCAGAAGGAGAAAAAGGATGGATGATCTTTTGAATTTTAGTTCAATCCTAAATATATCAAGGAAAAAGTTTTCCTTTTCCACGAATATGCCTTTGATGCTTATCTAACCCTTGTTCATCTTAAAAACAGAGGAAAAAAAGAAAATAGGTCTCCCTGCTGAGAGCCTGTAGCTAGAATTGAAAGATTTGTCTAAGATTTATTTTTGTAACAGCCAATGATGCCTCTTTTGTGGTAGGGCTAATAAGGTTGGTGTATGATTCTGTCAGAATGAGGAAGGTAGGGTCTGGGGAGCGCTGGCTTCTGCATCCTGGAATGGCCTGTTCTATTCTGGGACAGCTCTGACCAGTAGAACATTCTTAAGGAGCCCAGACTGATATGCCATCTCCTGCCTGGCCTGGTGCCCCCACTGGGGCCGTCCTAGCTTATAGGCATGGCTCCTCTACAGGACAGATACTCCCAGGCTTGGACCAGCTGCTGTGTCTGTCACACATTCCTTGTTCTTCAGTTGCTCCACCTGTCACGTTGCCTCCAGAGCTCATACGATCCTGGATTCTTCATTCAGATCTAGGCTTCTCCTGGAACATGGCATCCAGGACCCATGTCATGGATGCTACTATGGAAAGAACCTGGGTTTCGGAGTCAATTAGACCAGACTTCAAGTCCTCTGTCCCTGGTGAGTGGGGTGGCCTGGGTTCAGTTATTTAGCGTCTCTGAGCTTCCGTTCCCTTTCTTTTTACTCAGTGGTCTGGCCTGTGGCCCAGCAGCAAGGCATCACCAGGAAGCTTGCTAGAAATGCAGGAGTTTGGGTCCCCCTCAGACCTGCTGAGTTAGAATCTATACTTTAACAAGATCCCCAGGTAACTGGTGCACATTACCATCTAAGAAATGCTTGCTCAAGAAAAGTGAGACGTGAGTGGTGGCTGAGAGCTTTTCTCGCTCCCCTCGGACATTCTGCTTCCACCAACTCAGCCTCAGTGTGCCTTGGCATTTCAGTAGAACCAACCCAAGGTTGACTCGCCTCCAGCTGACAGCTCATTACCGTGCATATCTGGCTTCTGGGCTTTTTAAACACAAACTCATTATTAAGACATGGCCCTATCCTCCCAAATTTGTGGAGTAAATGTTTTGAACTTACAGTAGAGACTACTTTCATTCCCATTATACATATAAACAGATTTATTACTACATAATTCACATATCATACAATTACCCATTTAAAGCATACAGTTCAGTGTTCAAGGGTTGTTAGTATATTCACAGAATTGTGCATTTATCACCACATGTAATTTTCACTATCTCTAA